TTTTTTTGCAAAAATTGCAATCTGAAATTGATAAAATGATTATTATTATCATTTTAATATAATAACTTAAAATTTTCAGCAAAATGATAATTGGATCTAATATTAAAAAAGTTGTCTGTTTAAACAGAGATGTCCAGTATATCTTTAACTGTTAATTATTAAATTAATTAAATTATATATAATTGATTGAAGCATTTGAGTTTTTGAATTTCCATAATACATTTAATACTATAAATTTATTACATTTGATGAAATTTATTGAATTAAATAATAAATATTGCTATTTTGCTTTTCATTATATAATACACATTATAAACTAAATATTTAAATAAAAAATGACATTTTATTTTTTGTTATTTATTCGTAAATTCAATAAGGTAACTATTAGGTTAATTTGTTATTATCAAATAATTGAGTATTCATAGGTTCAAAATAGTTTTATATCTTTAATAATATTTTCAATAGTAAAGTTAGTCAATCATCCTGTATAAGTAACACTATGTTAAGTTGATAAAAATGAATCATTAAAAAAGAAACGTTACCATTTTCTTTTACTTGCAACAAAAATTTTTCCATTTAGTTAATTAAATTACTAAAAGGTCTTCATTTTACAAAAATAAACTATTTAAAAAAAATAAGTGATAATTATATAAGTGATGTCGAGACTTATTTTACAAAAACTCTTTATTGACAAATTAAACATTATTTTTCATTATTGTATTTTAGCTTCGATGCGAATCTGAGAAGGTATTGGTTTTACTATGATGTGTTTATTTTTTTGTGTCTGTTACCACTTTTTCTCAGCTCTCACCGAACGGATTTCTTTCAACGATACGTCAAAAGATCACAAATCGTACCTAGTCGACGAAGACATTACCCTTCAAAATTGAAAAAATTTCCCTCGTTCCCCGTAAATGGGGGAAACCTCCAAAAAAATTACAAATTTAAAAATCGCTAATTTTCGAAATTTTTTCAATTTTTTTTACTAAAAACTGCCGTAACTTTTTCAAAAATGAACATATCAATATAATTTTTTTTTATATAGATGCTTGATGTCTTTACCTATCATTTGGTATATTTTTTTTGTAAATCTGACACTTAACCTGCCCACAGGGGGGGATTTAAAATGACAACTTTTTCACAAAAAATTAACTTTTTCAACTTAACTTTTGAAAATGTTCCGGAAGGTCTGACACTTTTATATATATCTTAAATTAAAGCTTATGTAATATACTTTAATTTGAAAAAAAAAAATTTGACCTCTGGACTTGTCTTCGTGGTGAAAGTTGACATCAAAGTTAATAAAAAATTACGATTTTTGTAAAATAATTTTTTTTTATATTTTTAACTTAATAATGCTCTAACTTTTTCAAAAATGAACATATCAATATAATTTTTTTTTATATAGATGCTTGATGTCTTTACTTATCATTTGGTATATTTTTTTTGTAAATCTGACACTTTATCTGCCCACAGGGGGGGATTTAAAATGACAACTTTTTCACAAAAAATTAACTTTTTCAACTTAACTTTTGAAAATGTTCCGGAAGGTCTGACACTTTTATATATATCTTAAATTAAAGCTAATGTAATATACTTTAATTTGAAAAAAAAAAATTTGACCTCTGGACTTGTCTTCATGGTGAAAACGGCTACCGAATGCTATTTTTGTGTGAAAATTTTCGATTTTATTTTTAAAATTTTAGCTTCGATGCGAAGCTGAGAAGGTATTGGTTTTACTAAGATGTGTTTATTTTTTTTTTTTTTTTTTGTGTCTGTTACCACTTTTTCTCAGCTCTCACCGAACGGATTTCTTTCAACGATACGTCAAAAGATCACAAATCGTATCTAGTCGAAGACATTACCCTTCAAAATTGAAAAAATTTCCCTCGTTCCCCGTAAATGGGGGAAACCTCCAAAAAAATTACAAATTTAAAAATCGCTAATTTTCGAAATTTTTTCAATTTTTTTTACTAAAAACTGCCGTAACTTTTTCAAAAATGAACATATCAATATAATTTTTTTTTTTATAGATGCTTGATGTCTTTAACTATCATTTGGTATATTTTTTTTGTAAATTTGACCTTTGTCTGCCCACAGGGGGGGAATTTAAAATGACAACTTTTTCACAAAAAATTAATTTTTTTAACTTAAATTTTGAAAATGTTCCGGAAGGTCTGACACTTTTATATATATCTTAAATTAAAGCTAATGTAATATGCTTTATCATGAAAAAAAGAAATTTGACCTCTGGACTTTTCTTCTTGGTGAAAATGGCTACCGAATGCTATTTTTGTGTGA